CATATTTTCATCAAATATTTTTTAAAATTTTTTTTAAGATCATAAAATAAATTGTAAATTCATTTAAGAATAAAATATAGGAATCCGGCGCGTAGCGCCGGCAAACCACTAGTACAATATATAAGATTGATTATTTTGATTTATTTACGCTAATTGCGAATAAACAAGAGTGATAGTTAAATTTATATGCATACATCAATTTATTACATAATAGTGACTGATTTCTTAGTTATGTAATATATATATTTATTATTTTATTATTTTATGATATGCAGAAAATTATAAAATAAATTATAAATATAAAATACTTATTGTGCATAAAGTGCAAATCTTAACCTAAGTATGTATCTTTTTAATTATTTTAAATCTTAAGTATTTTCTAAATCCCAGGTCAAAACAAATAAACAAAATGAGAATAAACTTCAAAATCAATATTTATATCGGGTAATAACCAAAATATAAAAAAACACAACAAGAGAAAAAATAGAAGATAAATAGGATTAACACGTGAACGTAAACTTCTCATAACCATAATTAATTTTTAAATTGTTAAATCATGATATAAAACTGAGTTAATTTTTAATTTGTTATTTTTTTTTATTTTTTCAGTTTTTTAAATCATTATGGTTATGTTAAATCATGACCATAATTAATTTTAAATACTTTATTTGTATTTGAAAAACTTAAAATATTGTTTTTAAAAATAATTTAAAATTTAACTTATTTTTTTTTAATTATTTAAAAAATAATAATTTGTGAAAAATATAGTTTTCTAATATTATTATACAAATAAATAAATTATATTAAATTAGTTTTGAAACTTTATATATTTTAAATGCAATTATTTTACCAACTGCTTCTTAAAAAACATTAGGAAATTTGCTAATACTCTACCAATCAAGCCCAATGACACTCTGTTTATTTACCATCACTCGAACACTAAAAAGTGAAAAGATATATGAAATCGGGTCCACTAAATTCTAAGATTTGATCTACAGTTCTGATCCTCCTATATATTAAAAGAGAAGTCACTTTAATGAATTTTGCTTACGTGTCATTCATAGGTGCAATGTAGAATTAGTTCTTTTAATTTGATTGCTTGTTGCCATCTGAATTTTTATTTATTTAATTAAAGTTTTTTAAAAGGAAACTAATACTAGAATTCCCTAATCTAATATATATTACCAAACAAAAAATTAACCATCTTAAATGCATAGGATTAATAGAATTTTTTCATAGAAACAATTAAATATCACATATTCTATTATAAAAATTTAGAATATACATATAAATACATATTATATTATAGAAATAAGTATATAAACGATTTTAATTTTTTTGCTATTAATAGTGGATAAAAAATCATACATTACAGAAAATTAATAATATTTTATACTCACTCACTATATATATATATATATATGTATTCTTAAAATATGTTCGATGAATGCAAAACAGTCAAATGTAATTTTTTCAAAAAATCTATCCTTTTCTAGAGATAAATGTCGATAGTACAGTTGAGTTATCACTTTCAAAAATTATTTAAGTATTTTTATATTTAAAACAGAAAATTATATGGTATGTCATTTTTAAAAATATGAATAAATGAAAAGTTTATTATAATATAAAATTACAAAAAATCAAAAAATTATATTAATACAAGACTAGAGTTAATATTCTATTCATATAATTCATATAGCTTTAAGTATAATAAAACTGGCATGTTTATTTTTAATAAGAAAAAAAAGAAAAAGGCATAAATAAAAACATGAGTGAATAATAATAAAACGTTTTGTTGTATTCTTCGTTATTTTGTATTTGTACATACATAATTTTTTTATTTGTATACCAAAATATTTTTTACATATTAATATAATTGTAAACTAATTATTTTTAGGTGTTTATACAAAATAAATAAAAATTGAGCAAGGAAGATAAATATAAATGATAAGTTATAAAATTGTTAATGTTGAAGATGCAAAATATAACGCAAATTAAATTTAAAATAAATTATTTTAAAATAATGATAAGTATTTTTTGCGGTGTAATAAACTTTTAAAATATATGATAACAAAGTTATAACGAAATTTATACAACTTGAAACATGTTATTTTGATATATTAAAACTGTTGAATCTCACGTTTATATTAATCTATGTCTAAAATAATGACATCACATCATTTAAGAATTTATATATTTTATGTTATATAATTATTTAATCAAATTTACTTTTGTGAAATACAGTTATTTAGATTTACTTAAAATATGTATGTAATGAAGTAATTACAAAAACAAAATTCATATATTTTTAAGATATTCATTTTTTCAATGAAGATCTAGGTCAAAGGAATCAATGAAGATCTAGGTCAAAGGAATCAATGTTTGATAAGATAGTGTTAAGATTGGAGAGAATTTGATAATGACTTTATTTGGTTAGCCAATTGTGATTTTATATTAAATTCTAAATAAAAAAATATGTAAGAAAGGGAGAAACAGAGGGAGATATGGTGATGATAAGGATTAGAGAGTCGGTTATGATCAAAATGAAGATGAAAGTGAATACAAGTGAGAGACTGAATATAAGTGAGATAGATTCTGAAATCATTTATTAATACTATGTGAAAGTGTTTTGAAGATTTAACAAAATCTGGTGAAAATTTTGCAACCAAAGAGAGATAGAAAGAGTTTTAAAGTGAAATATTGAGGATCATATTAAGGACGAGGGTAAGATAATGAATATAACTGATTGTGAGATAGTGAATACAAGTATGAGAGATTTTGAGATTATTTGATCAACTAATAGAGGGAGAAAGAAAAAGAGAGGGAAAGAGGTGTAAAAAGACATACAAAAATAATGCAAAGAGAGATACATAAGAAACAAAATAAATGTGTGAAAAAATACAAGGAGAAAGGAAATGAGTAAGATAGAAAAATATATTAAAAAAATAGAGTATATATGTATAAAAGAAAGAAAGTTACAGTATATTTATACTTTTATATTACTTTTTATTCATACAATGTATAGATTATATTAATGTCCGCACAGGCGTGCGGATCGTCGACCTAGTTACAATTGTTTCTGATCCTACGTTAGATAATTATTTAAAAATTTCAAAATTCTAAAATTTCAGATACATATAAAAAAATTATATGTAAATTTTAAATTTATCAATACTAAAATTTTATATTTTAATTACGTATATTTATCTTGCGCAGGTCTTATCCTAGCCTGGTAGTTATTATACAATCGCCATTGATATAATCGATTCAGGTTAAGAAATCGAGCCAAAGAAGAACAAAGAAGAAAGGAAAAAAAAAAAAGAAAGGAACAAATTGATTCCGAGTTTGACGGCCAATTAGGTTTATTCTTGTCACTCAGACGTTGGGCCAAACCAAATCAATCAATAAATTAAAATTTAACGAAAGTCCAAAACAAATCTAATTATTTTTGGTGGCTGGATCACAAGGGTTGAGCCTATTCCCTTTTTAATATAGTATATTATTATTTTAGTTACACCTAAATGATACAATACACTATTAATTTATCAAGTTTAGACTTCATAATACAAAACTTACATATTTAACTGATGTATATATTTTTAGTTAATAAAATAAAATGTTTTGCTTTTACTTTTAAATCACTTCACAAAGAAATCTAAAAATTCATAAATTTCTCCATCATTAAACTTATAAAGCGATAACAATAATGATTTGCTCAAAAAAAAAAGGGGAAATTGCCAGAAATAACACTTTCAAGATACCACTTTTCAACTTTACACTAACNCTGATGTATATATTTTTAGTTAATAAAATAAAATGTTTTGCTTTTACTTTTAAATCACTTCACAAAGAAATCTAAAAATTCATAAATTTCTCCATCATTAAACTTATAAAGCGATAACAATAATGATTTGCTCAAAAAAAAAAGGGGAAATTGCCAGAAATAACACTTTCAAGATACCACTTTTCAACTTTACACTAACTAACTTTACCACTAAAATTTTAATAGTCAAAATACTATTAGAATTTAGGGTTTAGGGTTTTGGGTTTAGGATTGATAGTTTAGGGTTTAGTGTTGATTTTTAGAGTTTAGGGTTTACTTTTCAGGGTTTAGAGTTTAGGGTTTAAGGTTTAGAATTGATATTTTAGGGTTTAGGGTTGATTTTTAGGGTTTAGGGTTTACTTTTAGGGTCTAGAGTTTAGACTTGATGTTTTAGGGTTTAGGGTTAATATTTTATTTAATATTTATTTTATGTATATATATAAAGAACAAATATTTAAGAGTCTTTTATCCTTTAATAAAATGTGTATATTTATTTTTGAAAATGTTCCTTTGTTGATGGTAAACATGAAAAGTGGTACCACCAAAGTGGTATAATTGAAATTCTCCTCTAAAAAAAGACGATCAGATGAAGCAAACCATTACAGAACAAAAATGATTGTTCCTGAAAATGAATGCTACCCTAGAATTATAATCATCATTCCTCAGCTAATATCAATAATTCAATGTATAATCCAGGCTTCTTGTTTTAATCTGAGACAGTTATTGTCTTAGATTAAAACAGAATAAATAATAAGTCTTCAAGAACCCACTGAAACAAAACAAAATCCGCAAAACTTCTTTTTAATGTTTTAAACTTCTCAAGCCAAATTGGTGGAAGAAAATCACATAGATTTTCGAACAGTGAAGGCTCCAGAAGCAAGATAACTCAGCACAACGCTTCTCTTCCTGAATGCTTTTAACTCCATTAGGAGGGACTGAGTTCTCCTCAGAGGGTGAGGGATCTCTTCCATTAGAAGTTGGGATTAGGGATGATGCGGGTTCACGGCTTGTGTCAGAAGCTAGGGTTCATAGAGTAAGAAGATTCATATATCTTAGTGGTTCCTTCATACGTTTATACAGGGTGCCTGGAAGAACCGTGTGTTACCCCAGCAGCCAAGGTTACTTGACTAATACAGAGAAGGAATGCTGTTATATGTAGAACGGGTTTTACTTTGAAGCCATCAAAACTCCTCTATCAGATGAAAGCAACTGGTATAGAAGTACAAGACACACTCTTGAGCTAAGTCAAGCTTGAATCCCACCAAATAACAAAACAAATTGATAAAGAAATTGCAAACTTCATATGTAAATATTACAAGAAAATACAAATTTAGGTGAAAAAATCAAAAAGTTCGTTTGCTCTTATAAGGATTGATCTCGTAAGATCACAAGAAAATATCGGGTTGAAGAAGCTTTGCATTCATATACCAAGGATGGTTCGGATCTGATCCGGTGGATGTCGAGCGAGGGATTTCGGATCTGGATATCCGTTTTGTTGATCAGTTACAGCTCGGTATATAACCTCGTAATCTCCAGCCAACGTTTTAGCCACCCTGACACAAGCTTCAGACCTGAGTTTAGGAACTTGTATCTGCTCGAACTCGGGGAGAGAGCCTTCGCTTCCTAAAACGAGGCCGAAGAAGGCCTTGAGGCATTCTGAAAGCTTTGCGGGTGATGTCTCCTGTCGTTCAGACAATGGAAGTTCAGTTGTGTAAGAGCGCAAGATTTGCATTTTGTCCGAAAGACCGCATTTTCGGAGCAGTGCGTCGACTTCTTTCTGGACGAGGAGGTTTATGTGATTCTCGATCATTGATCCAATGTTGGTTACGTATTGGGACGCGACGTCGTGTCTTAGCAACGGTTGTTGGATCGCGCATAAACAGTTGATGAGGAATATTTTCGAAGGTGTTTCATTGTTCTGTGAAAAAAAAAAAGAAAAAAGAGATGAAGTCTTGAGAAAGTATTTTCGAGTTGAAGGAACGTAATGGATTGTTAAAAGCCAATGATACCTGCGGTGGAGAAGGGCTGCTAGAGAGTAGAGCATCCACTGATGTCAACTGGCTTGAGTCGCTACTTGTTCTGCTTCGTCTGGTTAATTGACCGCTCATCTTCGACTTGTGCGCCTCTGCAGCTTGCTCACACATCTACAGAATTTTAGAAAGTTTCAACAATTTTCTTCAAATGGACAAATTTGTCTCAAGTCTGGTTCTACTTTCAGGTACCTTAATGATAGGGTCAAGCAGTGCAGAGAGGACGGGATCAAACGCCGGTTTCTCTCCTGAAGCAGAAACCATCATGCTGTTGTAGTTCTCGATTATCTCAAGAGTTAAAGAAACTCCTTCTCGGACAGCTGGTGGCGGAGAGAGATCAATAGCTACAGGTGGAGGGTATCGTAGAAGTTTCTCCCCTCGGGTTTTAAGAATGTCGAAGAAGGTTTTCTGTGAAGCATCCTTAACCATTCCGATTGTATTACACAAAGCAGTGTCTCGCCCAAGTAAATCTGAGATCTGCAAGGTGGGGAACAACGCGATGATGAAATCCAGTAGAGCAATAAATGATTGTAGTATATCAGAAGAGATGAATAAAACTCACAGTGTAGCTGTAGAACTCCAAGGTGTTGGTAAGTTTATAAGAAATGATAAGACTTGGTTGTGACTGAAGCACTTGTTCGACTCTCACTTTAAATGGCCTGCAAACTCCTTCGAAAATTCTATCCAGAACAAATGTGAAATCAGATTCTGCTGCCTTTAGGGAATCATTTTCAGACGTATTTTTCGCGGTTGATTTATGGTCTGCTGAGTCTATGTCAAATAAAGCATGAACTAATTCTCTTTCTGATGCCAAAGCCTGCACCCAAAACAGTATTTACCTTAGGGAAAAGAAGCGCAACAACATGATATTTGGTCTGCAGAAAATATGATCATTTACACAATTGGCATGACAGCCAGAATAAAACAATCATTCTAACATCAGTCACATAAGAACAAGTGGTTGCATACCTGATGCAGCCACCCAAGCATGTCACCCACATATCGTAAGGGGTCATGGGCATGAACTTCAATAGGTCTAGGCATTCCTCCAGGTCCTCCACGTGTAAGAGCGCTAATAAACCTTCTAAATAACGCATTATGTCTCAGATTCCCTACCTGTATGATTTCCGCAAACATTCCCCGTATCATTTAAAAGTATAACAAAGACTAGACTTCAGTATAGTTGAAAGACTAACCTCCTCTGCACAATATTTGAAGAGCGCAGGTTTCTCTTTCAGACAGCGAACAGCGGTCCTCAAAAGGTCACCAACCTCTGGGTTATCCGTATCACCCAGTTTCCTACACTCAGCCTGAACCCACCTAGAAGAATCAAGGTTTCTCAGATTATATATATGAAACCTCTAAGCTCAGAACCAACAAAACAAAATCTTTATATTAAATCTTCTCAGGCTAAGCAAAGTGATAGGTGTGGTAACGAAGCCGAGAAGTTCAGGGAGGGACTACAACACTAAATTCAGGTTCCAAATTAGCAATGAAAAATTCAGACTAGTTCCAAACACTAAGTATGTTTCTACCAACAAAGTCTTATTCAGAAAAGAAGCAGATAATATACCTGCAAAGCCGCTCATAGGCTCCTTCTTGGTACATAGCCATCACACCCATCAACTCCAAGCCAGCTCGCTGCATACACAGATTCCATATAATCAAACACTAAACACAAAGGTATCCACTCTGAACGCAAGACTTGTTTCACAAAAAAAAAAAAGATGACCTGATGATGCGTCCTGAGAAGCAATTTGCAATTGGAATGAATCTCCTGAACGTGAGACAAGGCTTGGAAGAAACTCTCATCCAATTCATCTTCCCTAAGCGCTTTAATCTGCATCAATCAATCCAAAATTCATCTCAATTCAGATCTGATCTGATCACAATCAACGCAAGCTAATTCACTCACCTCTTCGTTCGACAGCTGATAATCCCTAAGAAAGCAATCAACAATCTCCTGCCTCTGCGTCGTAACCTCCAGCTCCTGCTTCAGCCTCTCAGTCGTGCTGACGATATCGCTCGTCGTCTCCGCCGAGCTGCTCAGCGCCGCCGCGATCTTGTCGCAGCAATCGGCTAGAGCGTTCACCTCCTCCTCCACGCGATCCAACGCGATCTGAGTCGAATCGGCCGCGCTGAGGAACTCGCTGTTGATCTGGAGCGCGCGCTTCTCGATCGTCGATCTGAGGTTCCGCCGCGCGTGGGCGCTGTTCTCGTCGTAGAATGAAGACAAAGCGTTTAGCGACGCCACCAGATCCGGAGTATCCGTACGGCATTCCAGTACCTTCTTCAGCTTCCGAGATAGTCCCGGTGCTAATCCCACCGTCGACGACATTCTTACTCTCTGCTTCCTTTTGTTTTCTTCTAATTACGATCTCTGATGACTTCTCTCTCGCCGGAACGGTCGGATCTGATTTGCTACTATGATGGGCCGGAAACTTAGTAAGCTAGGCCCATTTCACTTCTTTAGTTATCGGCCGATCACTTAGTAAGCCAGGCCCATATAAAATTTGGTTAACACCCAACCACCAATCCTGATGTATATATATTTTTTTTTATAACATCTTACCTTTATTATTATCAAAAGATGTTTAACAGTACATGAATCGAAACGTGTAACAAATACATTTTTAAGTAGAACATGATAATACATGAATCGAAACGTGTAACAAGAACATTTTTAAGATAGACTAATTCGCTAACTTTATATATTTTTGTTCTTGATCTTATATGATTCGATGCTCGGTTGTCATCTATTGTGATCCAACACATTTTAACACTTACCAGATCAATGGGTGTGATCCATCTGTTATATTACTGCCCGTTACATACACTCTCACTCCAAGAAATAACATGTTTTGTTGTAATCTTTATCAATACCATAACTAATTCCTTAAATTGACATTGATAAGCACTTAACTCCATTGTCTTCTGCTCCATGTCTTTACATAAACAAGCCGTTTTTCCTCTTGTTATCAAACAGAGATAAAACAGATCTCTCTGAAATAGTAAAGTCACCATCTTTCATGTCAATTTGTCAAAGGGACATGACATATGTAATCTTCTCGATGGCCATGGTGGTTTAAGATTCTTTTTTTTGTTCCAAAGTAAATGTAATCCTCTTAAGAAATTCTCTGGAGGGAATAAACCACCATGCCTAACAAGCAATGGAAACACAGCGACAACACAAAACCACCAAGTTTTGTTTGTCGGTAGATTACACTCAACAATAATGGAGATGATAAACTAACCAATTAGGGAGAAAAATGACTCATCAATGATCTGATCCAAGTCTCGTAACTGCCCAATGAACCAATGGATAAACAGAAAAATGTTTGTCATAACGATGACATCGTGTGACAGCGCCAAGACGAAGAGAGAAAGTATACGAGAAACACTTCGCTTGATTCGAAAACAATCGACGACGATGATTTTGTATGAAAGATAAAAGCCTTACGTAAATACAATAATAGAACAAGAGTACAAACCGACGCTGGAGCCGGTGCCGGCCGGAGATTATGGCGGAGAAAAGGTTGTTTGTGATCGCCTTTGTGTCGCTTGTGGGAGAGGAGAAAACGGTTTTTTAACTTAGGTTTACTTCACCTATTTCTCTACCAATCCTGATGTATTATAAACAAAAGTTACTTCTGTTAAATCCATTATTTATTTTCCTTAAGAATGTAAATATTATTTTAGGAAAATGAAAATCGAGGTATAAACAGAGACGACTTAAAAGCTTCTACATTAAAGTCTGGATGAAACTAAGACAAACGTCAATTTCCTACTAATTATAGGATAAAAACTTTTTATGGGAAGTCACGTTGTTCATTGTTGTCGTCTACTCTAGAGTGGGCATATCTGTCAAAGGTGTCGTATATGCGGAATCGTCTGTCGATCCAAGTATTTTGTGGAGAACTTCTTCGTGAAATCATTATCTATGGAATTATTCATCAAGATCGTATATGTTGTAGGCAATTGATCATCTATGTAATATAATTAAAGATTAGCAAAATTATAAGACTTCTAAAAATGATTAAACAGTAAGAAATAACAATAAAAAGCCATGAAGGTAAAACGATTGGTACTTGAACAGTTTAGCTTAGTAGTGAACATGTGTAGAAGTAGCTACAGACTTGAAAACCCTAAGGAATAGGTCTTAGACAGTTCAATCCATTATAAGCAGCTACAACCTATGTATTAATCTTAACCAGTACATGCTTGTTATAATGTCAACCGAACAGCTGGGTCGAAAAAGAAATTATGCATCCTGGCTGCTATAACTTGGTTGGACTCATGACTCGATAGGTCAAGCTCTAATCTCTATAATATTATTTGAGAAGTCAGTTTCCTATGTGTCACGCTCACGTAAACTCTCGCGATGGTTGATTACATAGATACCCTTAATGAATTGTTAAATTTTAAGATTATTATTAATTTTTTTTATTTAGTTTTCTCTTTTACCTTTTTCCAAAATAACATATATAATAAAAAGGAAATTATTCTAAAATTTTAAAACAAATTTAAAAAACGAAAATATTTATAGATATTATCTATTCTATTAAAACAGCAGTGTGACCTATTGAAAAAGGTTGTGTCCAACTTATTTAATAACCACCTATTAATATCAACAATAATTGAACTTTATGCATTTTATACAAATATTGTAACCACTAACTAATTCAATTCCTAATTATGCGGGACACGACTCATTTTTCTCTCTCTCTCTCTCTCTCTCTCTCTCTCTCTCTCTCTCTCAAACCGTCGACTAACTTCAATTTCAGAGTCTACAATTTCATATATATTTTTTTTGTCACAGACAATTTCATATAACTAAAAAAAAAATTGGGTTGTCGTCCATCATCCTTTTTCATCTTTTTAGTTTCTTTCTTTGTAGTTTGAAAACAATATCTCATTAAAGTATGGAATTATAAATAAAAAAAAAATTGTGTAAGTACGATACAAACACAAATTTGCATAGGTTTAATCACAGAAACAAACATATTTGTAGGTTCAGAAACGTGGGCATGGTGATCGATTGCTCGCCGATGGAACTCGGTGGAGAGTTACCCTGGCGATTTTGCTAAATTCGTTTAATAAATTGGTTTTGTAAAAATAATCTATTTTCCTGGGTTTTGAATGTTTGGAATGGAATTTATATACCAGATCTACAAAATTGATGATGGGTCTGAAAGAGAAACGTAATATTGCAGTCTATAATGATAACATTTTTTATGACGGCCATGGAAGTGTTTTTGCAGAAACCAAAAAGCTATCATAAGGAAGAAGACGATTTATTTACAATAGTGCCATTTATTAAAGAAACTATTTAAAAACAAAAAACAAAAAAGGACTGTAATTAGTTCGAACACGTAACATGCTGTAAAAATAACATCACTTGTATCCACTAAGTCAACTGCTTTATATAAAATACCAGTTTTAAAAAATTTGTTTGTCGTAGTTCATTCAAAAAAAAAAAAAAATAATTTGTTTGTCTAATTTTTAAATTAATCAAATTGATTTGTAAAAAATGTTGTTCAAATATTTAATATTGAAAAGTGATTATCTATCGCAATGTTTTGAAAACATGACCAGGCATGACATTGTAACTGGGCCAATGAACAATCAAATTTTAAATTTTAATTTAATTTTAAACTAAGTAAATATATATATACATAAACATATATGTGCAAATATAAAATTATTATTATAAAATTTAAAATCAGAAATTAAAAACTATGAAAATAAAATGAAAATTTCTAAAATAACATATAAATGTAATGAAAGCTAATATATTTATATAGATATTAAAATAATATTATTTTGTGATTTTTTTAAAAAAAATTGAATTTTTCACTTTAATTTCATAAAACCATGTTGTAATATCAAGCTGGATTATTGATTTTAGCGGATTTTCATGGGTTTTAGCCAGTTGTTACTGGATTTTTTGTTTTAACTCAAGTCCAATTCTAGCATAATCTGGAATCGATTAGAAGTGTGAGTCACGGTTTGACCGGCATATGAGGTCGAATTTTCAACACTGTTATTGTTTTATATTATTACCTGCAAAAAAATTTATGCACATTTTAAATCTCTTATTAAAACATTTTATTAATTATTTAAGAAAATATTTTACACAAATATTATTACAAAAATATAAATATAATTAAAAAATATAAAAATATAAAAATTGATTTTTTAAAACAATGTAAAAGAAAAAATATACCCGCCCTTTGAAGGCCTGGTCAGAATCTAGTGACTTTATTAAAAAGGAAAGTTCACAAAATAGTAATACCCCCATTAATATATATTTTAAATAACATAAAATATATTTTCAAAATAATAAAATTATATATGTTCATGAGTATTCAAAAATTTATCAGTTACACTTTATTTTCTAATATTTTATAGAAATCAACATATAACTTGATAAATATTATGAAATACATGTATATTTAAGCGATAAATAAAACTAATTTGATTTGACTTAACTAAAATAAAAAGTAGTTATACTTTAAATTTAATTTAAACATATATTTAACTCAATATACTCACAAAATGAATGACTCGACTAATCTAATTTATATCGAAAATTAAAAATCTAACTACAATAAGTACATATAATTTTATAATAATAATAATATTAATCTATTTAATTTTATACATATCAATTAGAGGTTGACTCAAAGCATATTAAAAAGAAAAAGAAAATATTAACCAATTACAATTTAATTCTCTTGTAGAATTTATATATATGCATGAGACTTCAAAATATTATCATTATATTCATTTATGTAATTTTGAATCAAACACTTCAGCTTATTATTTATTTCATTTTAAGCACAATATATATTAAGTTATACATAATTTAACTATAATATATTTACATATCTAAGAATATATTTACATATCTAAGACAATAACCAACCAAAATGAAAATAAGAAAATTAATCAAAGCTTTATTATATTTAGAATAAAAAAATATTATAGCCGAATTCGAAAAAATATATATTATCTACTATACCAAATTGATAACCAAACTGACTATTGATCCAAAAAATAATTAAACCAACAATAATATATTCAAAGTCATATGTATAATTAGAATAATATAATATTTATTAATATAAATTTATTCAAAACTAAAATTAAATACCAATCAATTATTATAAAGTTTTACTTTTATGAATATTCATATCTGTGCATGAGCACGGGAAAATCACCTAGTACGCTATATTAGTGGAGAAAAACCAGTCGTACACTAAAAGTAAACCTATTCACATTATGGCTTAAGGATTATATAATATGGTTTGAGCAGTTAAAGATTAACCTCTGTTACCTGCAAATAAATCTAACGTTTGATCCATTCATGTGTGGGAAATTGCTAAAAC